CCGCTTTGCATGTAATGCATCTATCTCATATATTGGTTTCACCTTTTGAGTTGCTTTATTGACATAAATGAACATTTGCACGATATTCTAATTTTTCGAGTTTCACCTGTAAATATCTGAGTGTGGAATCAAGTCATTGCACAGCAGACAGAATACTATTCATGGGTTTCACAGCTTACTAACAGATTACCGTATTTATTGGCATATTACACGCACAGGCGTATAACACGCACCTTAATTTTAAGAAGGAAATTTGAGTAAAAAACCCTTAAATTTAAAATAAATGACTTGGAAGCAAAATAAAGGGAGCTCTGAACTTGTTTATTAATATTTATACCACTTATAAGGTAAATACGTAATATGAAAGAAAAAGCACTTCTTTTGTATGTTGTAGGCTGTGTAGTGTGTAGTGTGTGTATGCCATTAGTATTTATTAGTTGTGTGTAGTGTGTGGTAATGGTAAGTCTGTTTATTACCATATGGGTACTTATTCCCTCCCTTCCTGCTTATCTGTCTGCAGCAGGCAGGCAGGTAAGATCTCTGGTGGACCAGTAGGGGCTAAAAGTCCCTGGTGGTCTGAGTGGATTGGGGGGTACAGTAATTTATTATTAGGGTATGCCTCCTCTGTTTGCAGTCTTTAGCAACATCACCCACGCTGGCGGCCAGGAGAGCATTTCTTTTTTGGTAGCTGCCGCAACCCGCCCCAGATGGCCGCAGGGGGAGGTGCGGGGCCCACGGTGAGCTGCACAACGCTCCCCTGGCTGCCCACTGACAGCTGTGCCTGACTCCTCTCGGATCGCCCCAGGACTGGCGAGCACGGAAGATGTAGCCTCTCCTCCGGCTCCCCGCAGCTTCACCCACTCCTCCCTCCTTCCTTTGGCGACTTTGGAAACTTTGGCGCAGAGGGGCAGCCCTTTCCCCTGAGGGCTTGACAGTGACGTTGGGAACATGGGAGAGTCTGGGGACCGTGTCAGAGCTAAGTGCAAAGTGCAGATCCGCAGGGCTTCTTGGTTTGCTAAAACAGGGCGGGCAGGGAGCTGCGCACCACCCATTCCCCGGGGCCTACAACTTTGCAAACCAGCTGGTGTCCCGAGCGTGCTGCGCCTGGAGGAGGAAGAGGTAAGCGCCGGTGTGCGTGTCTGTGTGTGTGTCTCTTGCAGAGAGCAGAGGTGTGTGTGTGTGTGTGTCTCCCTGAGAGCAGGGGCATGTTTGTGTGTGTCTTGCAGCAGAAGAGACATGGACTTTGAACAGGCAAGCCAGACGCTCCCAGGCAGAGCGGGGCACCTCCCACTGCATCAGGCCTTTGACTTTGCCAGGCTGAGAGACCGTGCAGTCCGGAGAGGTGAGTGCCACATGCCACGCCACCCGGGTGAGGGAACTGGCACTCCTCCGAAGGCTGCACTGCGCAGTTGGGAGCACAGGAGAGTCTGGGGACCCTAGTTCTCCAGCACTCAGTGTGTCAGAGCAAAGTGCAAAGAGCAGATGTGTAGGGTCAGAGGCTTGGTGTGGCGGGAGGCACCCCGCTTTGCCTGGGAGCATCTGGCTTTCCTGTTCAAAGCTGTGTCTCCAAAGGCGCCAATGTTTCTCCCGATGGGAAGGACAGAGGAACGGGCAAGGCCGCAGGGAGCTGGAGGAAAAGCTGCGTCTTCTGTGCTTGCTGGTCCTGGGGTGATCTGAGAGGAGTCTCTGAGAGGGGTTGGGCACAGCTCTTAGCAGGTGGCCAGCCAGGGGGGGCATTGCACAGCACCTCCCCCTGGGGCCATCTGGAGCAGCAGCGCTGGGTTGCAGCAGCTGCCAAAAAAAGAAATGCCATCCTGGCTGCCGGTGCTTTGCTCTCCCAGCCCTGCTGCTTGAGGTGAGAAGCCGCAGGGCATATCGGCGTATAATGTGCAGCTAGGATTTCAACCCCAAATTTTAGGGAAAAAAGTGTGTGTTATACACCAATAAATATGGTACTTCTTAGTTCCCAGTGGAAGTTAGTTTTCAGTCCTAATCCTAAGTATAGTAATTAAAATAAGATTTACTAAGGTTGTAATTAGTTAACAGAGATAGACTGTCCCTCAGATAACCAGGTCCTATGCTATGAAAGGATTTATAGGTGCACCTTGAATTGTATCTAAAATCCTACTGGCAACCAATGCAGCTCACACAGTAGTGTTGTCACATAGGCATACCAATGACATGCAGCTGCAGCTCCTGGGTGGTCTTCAAGGACAGCCCCATGTGCCTTCCAATAGTTCGTTCTTGAGGTGACAAGGAACGAGTGATAGTTTGAAGGGCTTCCTGATCCAGGAATAGGTACAACTGGTGTCCTCGATAGATCTTGCAAAAGGCCTCTTGACCACAGCTGCCACCTGTTCTTCAAGCAGGAGCTATGAGTCCAAGATGACACTCCAATTTGCACACCAGCCTTGAATAGGAAAGTGCAGCCCTATTCAAGACTAAAGATGTGATGATGATGTGTGTGTGTGAGATGGACACACAGACACCTTGTACATACCCCCCTCTTGTGCTTTATATTGTGTGAACATATGAATGGACTTGCATAAAGGAGCCCTAGAAGTAGAAGGCTTTGTTCTGGAATATTTCAGACTGTGCAGTATGTGGAGAATACAATTTTGAAGAAGGGGCAAAAAGATATAATGCTCCCATTGAAAATGGTTTCTGTGTGAATTGGATAAGGCAATGGCACTGGTGGAAGAGTACCAGGAAGTGTGAGAAAAGTGCCAAGGTTGGAAATTATAAAAGTGTATGGAAAATGTAGTTCTTTGAAGTTACCAAATAGAAGAAGGTATGTGCACAGGATTTTGCCTTGATCCTTGAGTCAACCTAGTCTAGCCAGGTAGACTCTGAGTGGGCAGATACACATTGCTAGATCAATGAGTGAAGAAAACTTTGGTTTCAGAAAGGGAGCACTGAAAAGTTGTAAACCTGCATTTATTTCTGTGTGTCCTGAGTCTTTGGATAAAAAGAACAATAAGAAGGCTGCTTTTTGTGACTCCCAGAATGATAGGGATATAATCCAGAGAAAGATACTGTAGGTAGACAATATATAGAGACTATTTTAAAAGTATACCTAATACTGATAAAATATCACTATAAGCAATATCTCACATTCTACATTTAATGGTGTTACTCCATTAAACAGGTTATAAATCCTGTTGTAATGTTTTTGTATCCATGTGAAGTACTTTGTTTAAATATTCAAATTTTCCTGGAAGACCAAGAAAGTTCTTCCATTTGTTTAGATGATCATCACACTTTAGACTCATAAGCCTCTCATTCTCCCCTACTCTCTCTTTTACAGTGTGTGGAATGGAACTAAAATCTGAAAATCAATAGATTTATTTTCTGTAAAGTATTCTTATTCACGTTTCATTGTTGTTGATAAAGAAAACACAGAAATGAGGAGAGCAAAGGTTAATATCAGAGCTGATTTTGTTACTCAATAATTCCTCCCCCCAATAGATAGGAAACCCTAGCTTAGATCCACCCAGACTTATAGCCTGATAGGTCACAGCCAGAGTACAATGTTTTTAGGATTGCTGTTACTGTACATGAACTTGCTGAGGTGAGGGAGAGGTAAAAAAGCCCTAATTTTGCAAGGATGGTGAGAAAGCATAATTGTTCAAAAGTTTGCAATAGGTCAATCCTGGCTTACAGCCAGTTTCAGGGCAAATGCTACTTCACATGTATAGAAAGCCTGCCAGATAGTATAGCTCAAGGAGAGGTTACCATCACCTCTATCAGAGCAACAGGGATAATCCCCCTCATGCCCCCCTGGGTACTAAGGCACTAAGCACCCCAAAATAGTTAGTGCAGTTAGTTGCCATGGATTAATAAACTTATCCAATTCTTCAGTCTGCAATAACTGAGCAATAATACTTCAAGTGCATATAACTGGTGTGGCATATGGGTTTTGTGGCCAGGCTGGCTGCTGTTGTGCTGGTGGTGAGTCAGCAGAAGGAGACAGGAGAAATGGGGAGAAGAGGCTCAGGTATGGCCTTGGAGTGCAGCTGTGCTGTCACGAGGGCAGATGAGCTGCCCCGGCTGCTAGCCAGGACTGTTGTGGGGCAGATGGAGGCAGCATTCCCATTAGTCCAGCCTTGTGTATAGGTGCTGGGTACCAAAGCACTAGGGGGCAAACCTACCTCCTCAGTTGCCGGGGGGCATGCTACCAGTTTGAGATGTAAAAGGAGAGAAAAAGAGAGAGGAAAGACAATGGGAGACATGTTGCCACATTTGAGCCTGGGCTGCTTTGAGGCATCAAGGCAGACAGGGCCTTTGGAGAGGCTCTGCAGGAAGCTGGTGGCTGGAGAGGGACCTCTCTGTGAGCGTGCTGGGCTGCTGGAGTGGGGGCTGGTTCCTGGCCCCAGAGGGAGAAGAGGGTGGAGGCTTCCCTGAGAGAAGGGAGGTGAAGACCCAGGCAGAAGGACCAAACCCAGGGGACAGCGGCTGCCTGCAGACAGATAACTGGAGCCTTCAGGGAAGTCCCAGACTGGGAAGTGTTGGGCAGAAAACCCAGAGGAAAGGTGCATCTTCCATATAAAGGAGGCAATTAACAGTGATCACTCTGTTGAGGCATTTCTTTGTTCAAAAGGCTAAGAGATCCAATAAGATGTAGTGGTTAAAGTTTCAGACTTGCTCTAAAAGTTTATCCTTTTTCATTGAAACTTTGAGCCAGTCACTCTTCTCTAATCCAACCTCCCTCACAGAGTTGTTATGGGGAGAAAATAAAAGGAGCTCCTTATGTAAACCATCTGGGCTTTTGGAGAGGATATAAATCTAACAGACAAATGATAGTGACTTCTCTCAGCTACTGACTGAGGGAGAAATGCTGGGAGGGAGAGTTCTGACATAGGAGGCAAAGCTTCTTCTACCCAACCAAATTGCCTGCACATACATGGTGTGGATGGGGGGAGAATCCAAAAGGAACCAGTTCATCATCCCTGAAGTCTGTTCTTTTGTTTTGTTTATAGGCAAAGATCACCAGTTTATCTGTTGAACTTACTTGACTTTCTGTTTGCTCTTGATCGCTTTCTTTCTTTGGGCACTACACGCTGACTTGGCACTTGTGTGGCAGACTTGACAATACGATCCATTATCTCATCTGCTGCATCTTCTGTAGCATTAGACAAGTCGTCATTGCCAGGGTTCCATGAACCAACATGGCCTGGAAACCAAAATATTTAATAAATTTATATTCAACACAGTTGAGTATATTAGACAGTCACCCTATGGGAGGCATAAGTCATATTCTGTGCCTTTTAAGTCATCATCTTCTTTATTACGGTCACAGACCAGAATTACAAATAAAAATACATTAAAATACATGAAATACATTAAAAATGCATTAAATGAA